CAGAAAAAGAATGAATTAAAATTATGAATAAGGAAGGTCCTGGCTGTTAAAGAGATTAGTGCCATTAAAAAGAAATCAAGCTGGTTACTAGTGGCTCAAGAGCCTGTAATCAGGAGGCTGAGATCTAAGAGTTGCAGTTTGAAGCTAGCCCAGGCAGGGAAGTCCATGAGATTCATACTTCCAGTTAATCACCCAAAAAAGCTGGAAGTAGAGCCCTGACCTGGGACCATGACCTTGGACCTGTGGCTCAAGTGGTAGAGGTGCTAACCTTGAACACAAAAGCTCAGGGACAGCCCTAGCCCAAATTTAAAGCCCCAGGACCACAAAAAAAGGAAGAAGAAAAGAAAAAAGGAAAGAAAATAAGTCAAGTACTTTGCACTGAGATCACAGTAAAGAATCTTGACAGCCTCTCAGGAATTGGCTGGACCCTATTCAATTCAGGATAAAAGCAGTACAGTTTTTAACTAATTTGAATTTTTTTGCTTTGAGAAGAGAGCTCCAGGGTATCCTGTAAACACACGCCTGTCCTTGTATTTCCTAGATTTCTGGTGCCAGGATCTCAGAGGCCAAGGTAGCTGTGGCTCAAAGGGGCTCGACTAAAGCTCTGATTAACAGCAGGCCTTGGGGTCATCCAACATGTAATCATGTTGGCATAGACATGGAGAATACAAGAGTCACAGGGTCAGGGAAGCACTGAGAATCCCGGGGGTATGATGCTGTTTCTAAAGAAGTTAGGGCTGGTCTCATTAAAAAGGTGACCACCAAGAAGAAACTACAGGAGGTGAGAATGTTAGCCATGTGAATACGCAGGGGATGAGAACTTAGGGCAGAGGGAAAAACTAGTACATACACCTTAAAGTGGAACTCGGCTTCTCTTGTCGGAACTTCCAAGCAGCTGGTGTGGCCGAGGCAGAATTGTGCATGGAGAGAAGTAGAAAATGAAGTCAAGAAAAGGGGAAAGCATTGCCACCTATGATTTAAGTAAATTGGATTTGTATGACCTTACTCAAATTTAATAGAACCACTGTAGCTGCTTTTTGAGAACTGAGGCAAAGACAGAAGTAGAAAGACAGATGAGAAGCTACTGCTAATTCATGTGGTGTTTTGGGTGATGTTTGTAGAACTAGACATACAGAGAAGTGATCAGATTCTGGATATATTTTAAATGAATAAAGACAAGAGGATTTCCTGACAGACTGACCATGGGTTATGGGGGAAAAAAGAGAATTATAGTGTGACTGCGATGTTTTGTTGGCAACTGGAAGACTGGAACTGCCAACAGGGGAGAAATTAGGTAAAGCTGGAGGAACGATCTTGGGAAAAAGTTCAGAAAGCAAAATTGAGCTTATTTGAAATGCCTACTAAACATCCAAATAAGGTTGTCAAAGATGCAATTTTACATAAAAGTTGGGAATTTAGGAAGAAAGAGTTGGCCAAAAATATCAATTTAGAAATGAACACAGATGTATTTTGTGAAATGACTAAGAGAGGGGCTGGGAAGGTGGCTCAGTGGTAGAGCGCTTGCCTTGCATGCCTGAGGCCCTGGGTTCGATTCTTCAGCACCACATAAGCAAAAAGAAAAAA